ATTTTCTTCCCTTTATCTCTCTGATTATATCGCTTCCGCTATATCTGTATTTTATTTGATAATTAAAACTCAATTTAACAAATTATTTACATCACAAATAAATTTTAATTTGACATCTATTTCAATTTATGCATCTATTCACCCCCCTCTAGATGCTATTTGTCTAACACTTATCTTTTAACTAGTTGATCTATGAATGGAAGGGGAAAGTGATCCTTCCACACAACAATTATCCCACTCTTTTTTTGGAACAACTTGGATAATAGTTACCTAAGTGTTGTCTGAGATGGTATAGATGATGTCAGCCTTCAGTAGCTTGGTAACCTCCTTTTTCACCACATTAGGTTGTTGTTGTGGAGTACTCGCTGAACTTGCTTCAGTAGTTTTCTAGGCTTTTGCCAAGTTTTCCTATGTTCTTTCTAAGTGTTATTGTTTTCCTACTGATGAATCAATGAAGCTTGGATTTATCACTGTTTGAGGGTTCTCTTGTTCTATTTGAACTTCTCGGGCACTCCTCAGGGTGATTGCACTTACATTCTCCCTCGGATTAATCATTATTTGTGAGGGAAGTGCATTCGCACCTTGGTGCTGTAGTGAATTCAGGGTAGTGGCCAATTGTCCAATTTGGGTTAACATGTCATTAATAATGGTCGTCATGCGCTGCTCAAGCTGTGCACTTTGCGTTATCATCTACTGTGTGAGCTGCTTCATCAAGTCTTCCAGTGCAGACCCATAATTACCCTGTTGCATAGTGCTAGTTTGGCTTTGTTGTATTGGCAAAAGGTGTGGATTCGCCTGTTGTCTTAGTGGGGAAGGTTGATACTTTTGTTGTGTGGGGTGACCTTGGTTGCTCGGCTGGAAAGGAATCTTTGGTGGCTGGTTGTAGACAAGACTATATTTCAAGTTGGGATAGTCTCTCTAGCCAAAATTATATGTGATCGAGTATGGGTTGTACTCCTATTGTAACCTGTATGGATTTGACTGTTTATAATGTTGTTGTTCAGGGAATAAACTAACCACTATTTCCCTAATTGAGATTGGTGTCTCCTGAAGTTGAGGACATGCATCAATAGGATGATGAACGTAGGTGCATATCCCACATAAATGTTATTGTATTTGAGATGTGTGTTGGTTAATGGCCCATACCATGGATGTCAACTCATATATTTTATTCTTTAACCTTGGATTATTGATCTTTGATGTCATCTGAAATGTTTGTGCAAAGAAAAAAAAATTTCTTGCCTATTAAAATAGTAGCGATAGATCGTGAACAAGTACAACAAGTAGATTCCCAAGAAAAAAAGGTGAGTTACTAACGGACACACTTAAATATCAGGTCTTCTCTAGTCAGAACCCTCATAGATATGCACTCTCACTACCTAGCTATATTCTGAGTTTCCTATGAGAAAGATGTTTATCCAAAATTTCATGCAAGAAAGGTTAGGGGAAAAAATATATATATATATATAATTTTTTTTAAATAATGCTAGAAAAGAAAATTAAAAAAAAGAAAGAAAATGATATTAGACAATGTTACGCAACAAAATTGGGTCCCAACAACGACGTCATTTGATAACAAAATTTTTGTCGCCTAAAATATTGATAAAATAGATAACCAAGTTGCTAAACTAATGTAATATAGCTAACCCGTGTCAAATTTCACAAGGACAATTATAAGAACGTATCCATTACTACACATCATTTTATCTAAAAACAAGTAAATAATAGCAAATGGGGGGTTGATGATAATAAATTGAAAGGGTGAAAAATAAATTGAAGTTAAATAATGAAAACTAAAATTAAATTGTAAAAGAATAATAATAATAATTAAATTGAAGTAGGATAATGAAAATTTAAGCAATTTAAATTTATAAAAAATAAAATTGAGTGCTTTTAATTAAATTCAAAAATTACCAGAATAAAGTACAAAATAAAAAGTAGTTTTAAAATAAAATAATATAGTAATTAAATTTAAAATTTTTTGAAAGCAATAAACCTAAAATTAAATTAAGAATTGCATGCATAACTAAGTAATAAAAGAAAATCGAATAATGAAAAAAAGATTTGATAATTAAAATTTGTGCGTGTATGAACTTGGATGAAAATAGTAAAATTATAATTAGAATCTAAATAGAGATGAATTGAAAATGAAATTAAGCAGATATTGGAATAAAATAAAAATTATAAACAATTAAATAATAGAAATTAAACTGAACACTAAATGAATAAAATAAATAGAACAATATAAATTGAAAAATGCAATAGAAATTGTAAATTAAATAAAAGAGAACAAATCGGAAGTGTTGTAGTAATAACTCGCCTAAATAAAAGCTGAGAACGAAAAGAAAACAGAGACAAGACAAAACAACAACTTGATCTCAAGTAGGAGATTGTGTCTTTGTGCTATCTTTATACCTCATTTTATAAGGGGATGAGCAAAAGAAATTAAACTTGAAATTAATTACAATAAAATCAAATATTTTCCTAAATTAGAAATTGCAAAACTAGATTGTTGTGATGAAAATTTTCTGGGAGTGATTTGGAAGAAATAATATGTTTCTTTCCTATTTTTAGTGATCCAGCATTGATTTGCATTTAATTCTTAATTTCATTAACATTTAGTTTAACTAAATTGGATTCCTGCAACAATTAATTTGCTTAATTCAAATTTTTCATTTGTTACATTTTGCAAAAGCAAACTTGGGTTTCCGAAAATAGTGAAACTCGACTACATGAATTTGGGTCTTTATTTCCATCAATTTGGCCGATCTCAAATTACATTTCTCTTACAAAAAAAATATGTATTATGGATGTATGCATGTATTTTGTGTGTGTTAAAACTATGCAAAATGCAACAAATTAAGAAAAATTGAATTATGATATGTTTTTAATGAAATGCATGATTTATAAAGAAAATAATTAGCTTAAAAAATGCTCATAGCTCAAGAAATAAAGATTAAAATAACATATATCAAGGGGGTTAGAAGGGGCTTTCCTCTCGACTGTTACTCAACTAACTAGTGTTGTGAATGCTTTTTTACAAAAAACCTCATCGATGTCTCCAGGATGGTCCTTCACCAGAACATTTTCTGAAGAAGCAGATACAATATACTATTCATTAAAACTATTTCCTAAACCTAAAACGGTTCACATTCTCTTGCACTAATATAGAAGAGTTAGGTTTACTCTTATCAAAACCAAACATAATGAATGAGAAAGAGGAACGTACCTATTGAATGCAGAGGAAATTGAGGGGAGGTAGGAGATGAAGAAAGACAAGAATATTGGAGAAGGGAGAAATACAATGAGTAAAGAGGAATGTGGAAATAAAGAAAGGAAAATGAGTGGTTTTAAAATGCTTAAAACAACGTCTCTTTGCATTCCCGTCAATAATATTTTTATTATTAGTTTATACAAGTCAGTCTTAAGTAAATCAACTACGATGAGTAAAACTTAAAAATACTGGAATATAGCTCGGATTAACTGAATATTCAAATTAAACCTAAGCTCATTCTGCCTATATCCCTTAAGAATTTTGACTTTCGAACTTAGAGGACTTGTGTACTTGCCCGACCCATATCTATTAAAACTATTATATTTATTTAATTATTGTTGGGTCTTTCAAGGAGGAATTTATTAGGGAGAGACAACACCAATGAGACATGAGTCAAACCCACATAAGGGATTGACTGACCTTCAACCAAAAATCTTAAGGCATTGGGTTATGAGTCTTTTTTCTTTATATTTTACTCAACTTCCTCATTCTTACACAATATGAGACTTAGACTCACTCGGATTTCCCAATAATCTCTCTCTCAAGTATGAGTCCCTTCATATTGGTACATCCTCTCAAACTCACTAGTGGCCCTTCCATGTACCAACATTCATCATAACGGAACACGCTTACCTGACCCACTGTCAGAAAGATTTTCAATGCAGGGACCACTCTTAAACGGTCGATCACCACATAAATCATCAGTTTTGATACCTCTGGTGGGTCTTTCAAGGAAGGATTCACTAGGGAGAAACTATAACAATGAGACATGAGTCAAACTCACATAAAGGATTAACATCACCTTCAACCCAAAATCTTAAGGCATTGGGTTATGAGTTTTTCTTAATTACATGTTATTTTATTTTCTCATTCTTAATCAATGTGAGAATTAAACTCAAACTTGGATTTTTCAACAATCTTCCCCTTAAGTGTGAGTCCTTTCACATTGGTACATCTCATCGAGCTCACAAGCGACCATTTATTGTAACGTCATTCATCATAATGGGACAAACTTACCTGACCCATCGTCAGGAAGATAGGGACCACTCTCAAATTGTTGGTCACCACATAAACCATCGGTTTTTATACCACTATTAGGTCTTTTGATGAGAGATTTACCGGGAAGAGATAACACCAATAAGATATGAGCTCAATCCATATAAGGGATTGACACCACCTTCAACCAAAGGTATTGGGTTATGGGTAAGGATGATAAAACGAGCCAGTTCATCCCGTTTTTGCTCGCCTTGCCTTTAGCTCACAAAAAATGGGGTGGGACAGGTTGACCCCCCATAGTTAGGACGGGTTGGAGACCTTAGCCCACCCTCGCCAAAAGGCGGGTTGACTGGCAAGCCCACCAATAATATTTTTTATATAAAATTTTTTAAATGTATTTTTTTAAAATATAACTTTAATTATTTGAATAAATTTTAAGGGTTTATTTATTAATTAATATTTTTATTAGATAAATTGAAAATATTATTATATTTATGTGTTAAAATAACTAATTATAATTAATAATTTAAACTTAATTGATTAAAACTATAATCTAAATTATAATATTATAATATATTTATATATTTGAATGACATAACATAAAAAAAGTTTAATATTTTTAATTATAATCCTTTTTATTTTAATTTTAATATATACATATTTTTTTAAGTGGGCTAGTGGGCTAGTGGGCTAATCGGTGAAATGGTAGGCACGCGAGACTTAAACTCTCATGCTAAAAAGCATGGAGGTTTGTGTCCTCTTTCAGATATAATATTGTGATATCTTATTGAATTGGAAAAAGTTCGACAACAAATCAATACATCTTGGTGATCTTTTCGTCCCGCTCTTAACCCGTTGCATTGGTGAGTTAAAACTACTAATCTGTTCTACCATTTTTCAGGCGAGTCGGCGTGTTAACATATCAGGACTAATCCGTTTTGACATCCTTAATTATAAGTTTTTCTTTTTTAATATATTATTCAACTTCCTCATTCTTACACAATGTGAGAGTTAGACTCATACTTGAATTTTTCAACAATTATCTTGTTCTAAATTATCTATGATATGTTATTATTTTGTATAAAATTATATTAATTATTATCAAATACACTATTTATTCTTAAATACATTATTTAAATCCTAATTTTTTTTAATCTAAAAAATGACTTAAACATCAAAATATAAAAATACATTTTAGAGGTGAATCTCTATTTTTTAAAAGAAACTATTCACAATCTCCCCGACAACAAAACCTATACCACAAGTTTGTGAAAAATTGTCTACGAAATTATTTATAAATTGTTAGGCATGCATTAATCGCGAGACAGCTTATTTTTTAGCTATTTTTCAACCTATCTGCCAAAAGTTTTAATAACTCTATTTAACCCTTTTCTAAAAATTATATGTTATTTCAATTTGTATTAGAATCTAATCCTCAGGTTAATTCCCAGTAAGACTTGGAAAAACAATTGTTTTAAAAATAATGAAAAATAAAAAAATAAATTATTAATAAACTATCCTTGATGAAGAGCGTAAAGTTTGACTATTGGAGCAAATAATATGAATCTTCTTCTTGACACATAAATATGATGTTAGAATAAGAAAAATATTTATTAATAACCTAATTTTATCAAATAACCAATTAATAATTTGACTTATTAATAAAATAATAACTTTTCATTAATTCAATTATTTTATAAATATAATATTAATAAACAAGTTTATCTTATGTATATGTATGTTTCCAAGATGTTAATATATCATTACTTTTAGTATAAAGTATATTATAACAAATATGTTTTGAGAACTCATTTCTCGTATATATCATTCCCAATAATTAAATATATTATTATAATAATTTTATATATTATTATATTATTCTTTATAGTGATGGAATAGGAGAATGAGTTGTAGGAATATCCATGTTGGTATAATATCCCTCGTTTGAGACAATGTACCTCAATGACCCATGGTAGAAGAAGAAAATAAGATTAAGACGCAAACGTGTATTGTTAAGCACAGGTCAAACCGAGTAGATAAAGATTTTAACCTCCCTAGAGCGCATGGGCCCACACATCATCCTTACGGCCTAAGGAATCCCAATGTGCTAGTGCAAGAAATTGTACCAGAAAATGACATTTATATTAAATTGAAAAAAAAATCTCAAATAATTCAATGATTATATCAAATGATTGATATTTTAATAAATTTTAAAAAATTCTTTTATATATATCTATGTATATAATGTATATATAGATGAAATTTCAACGTAGAGGTGAGTTTAAAAATAAATATGACCCTGAAGTGTGTAAGATTTGCTAGATCAATAGAATACATGAATAACCCCCAGGCCGAAGGAAGTAGTGAACTTCACTTAGCCATACCCAATTCTGCATTCTATACATCTCCGATTTTTTCTCCATCAATTTTTGGCGTCTGATTTTTCACTGTTTTGTTCTAAAAAGTTTCAGGTTCTGTTAAAATCCTAATACAGTTTGGACTCTAACCACGCTCTAGCATTCTTCCTTTCACTGCAGCTTTTATTTTCTCAATTAATTTTTTCGTTCTTTTTTCTTTATTTTTGCTACGCCTAAATGCCGGTTAGAGAGATGGGGAAATCCAAGTGCTTGTGGAAATTCAACAACATTTCGACTTTTCTTTATTGATTGTTCTTTTTTGTGTCGATTGGATCATTGTGGTGGTCTACAGTGTCGAAGGGGTTGAAAATGATGCTGCATTTTGTACAGCCATCAAAGCTGAAAACTAAGAAGGTATTTTGGCTAGAAGGGTTACTGTAAATAGTTTGGAGTGTCACTTTATCTGATTTCTGGGTGAGTGATATTGGTTCTTGATTGGATTAGTATGTTTTTGTTAAGTACCAGGTAATTGGAAAATAAGAGGGGAGAATTATAATCTTAAATATTCGATAAAAATTGGCAAACTGTCCTTGATAGAAATTGTGTCCCATTGAACGTGAGTTCTAATCCCGCAATTAACGTAAGGATCTCGCTTGTAGAAATTTGTATGTAATTCTGTAAGCGTTTTTTGAGTCTTAAGTCATGTTCTGTCTCTAATAAAGCCGAGAACTTGGTCACCTTAACTTTCATGTTCACCTAAAAAAATTTGAACTTCTACGTATATACATGCCTGTAGCTCTGTTCCTGGCAGTAGTTCTGTTTTTTGGTTATCTCTTGTAACAGGAATGATGATTTCATCATTGATAGTTAGTAGCACTAATTGTAGATTTTCATGCCGTCAGATTGTGTTTGAGGATGCATATGCTGCCTGTGATTCTCTAACACTTGAACATCTTAAGGAATTAAGCTCAAAGCGTAAAGCGATTGAAGACTCCATTAATGAGAGCAGCTTCATCACAGAAGCTATTGCAAAAGAAATGTCTGGAGGGTTGGAATCTCGCTTCGAACAGGTAACTGTTTATGCTGTGTTGTCTGTATCAGTTCCTTACTACCATTTTTCTTAGTAGCACAGTATGCAAATGTCTGTGTCCTCTCTTCGGTAATTGTGTTACTCGTGGAAAGGGAAGGAAAGAACATATGTCTAGTTGTATGAACTTTCATTATCTGTATTTTATTAGGTCCTTATGAAATGCCTAAGAATGGTCTTATTATGGAACTTATATATTTTCTGAGCGTTCTCTTTCTGGCAATGAGCAAGTATGCAATGAACTATGAAATAGTGTTTTTGTGTGTGATGACCAATTAAGCTTTATACGCAATATTTGGTAAATAATCAAATTTATACTAGTAGACAAATTGTTCTCATTTTCTGTCAATAAATTTATATGATTTTTTTTTTCTGTCTGCATCAGGATATTCACAAAATAGAGCAGTATCTGCCATTACTGGAGAATTTGTTTTCTTATGCTGATTTAACAAGAACCAATAACCGAACCCAAATGGCTCAATGGACGGTGGCTCTTAAGATACGCTGGAGTAGTGCCCTGAGCACATCTTCATTCTTCAATTTCAAGGGCCCTAAATTTTTCCAAATCGACAATTTGCGATTTGAGCTTGGTATGACCCTTTTTCTTTGTGGTGGAATCATGCGAGAAAGGGCTTTAGAAGTTCTACCAGCTGGTACGTGTTGAGAAACTCAAAATCCCATTTCATGTTATGGACTTGTCCAGTTGAATATGTTTGTACATGCCATCATTGTTTGCTCTGCAGATTTGGTTCGGTCCGCCACCATTTTCAGACAAGCTGCTGGCATTTATCATCACCTGGCGCAAGAGGTTCTTCCCCCCTTACAGCCTGAATTGCCACCAGCAAAGCCCCCTGAAGTTCTTGCTGCAGTATCCACTATTATGAGTCTCATTTGCTTAGCTGAGGCCCAGGTTGGTGCTGTGTCATTATATGTGTCGTTTCATTTTTGTCTCAAATTGCATACTGTCATATCATGAAACTTCATTCTGAAAAAATTATCCCAGTTTCTAAACATGAAGTTTATTAAGTTTTTTGGTTGAAATATGTAATAACTGTACAGGCAGTAACTACAAGGAAAGCTGAAGAGAAAGGTACTTCTCCGAGTCTCCTAGCAAAGTTGCATCATGGTGTTAGACTTTTTCTTGAAGAAGCTATTGGAATCTTTCATACCGTTTTCACACAGTGCAAAGACATTTCACCACGCTTATTGGTATGGATAAGTACCCAACCTGCACATATACAAGCTTGTTGGATTCGTTATATTTCATTATAGAGTTTCAGTTAATGCAAATTCTGACCTAGGTTCTGTTTGGATACAAGCCAAAAGCGCTTCTGAGAGCTTCTTTCCTGGAAATAGAATTTTTTTTTTCTTCCAGTAAATAAGCTCTGAAAAGCTTTTCTAAATTTGTATCCAAAAAGACCCTAATACCTTTCACCATGTCAAAATAACGTAATTGCTTACCTTTCCGCTGATCCTTACTCAGTCAGAAAGGATAGTAGGAGGGGCTGTAACTAGTGAACCTTGATACTCTTGTAATGGGGACAAAGAAGAAGATTGCATTTGTATTTGTAGGAGTGAAATAGAAATGTTACATGTCAAGCATAACCTATCTATGATACTGTATCGTAAGATTTTTGTGATGAATAGATTTTTATCAAGAGAGCTGTCCTGTTTTGCTTATGTTAATTAATCATTTTATATTTCTTTTATCATTTTGATCTTCCATTATGGTATTGAGAAATTCTCAAGGTACCCTTTTATGTATGCAGGAATTTATGTATTTCTGCAAGTATTTACATCAGTTGAAAGGTCAGCAATATTTTGCAGAAAGCCTAAAGGCTTGTGGTCAAATAGGAGTTGCCATTGGTGTTCTTTGTTCTGTGTTGACTAATGTTAAAAGGAAGATACCAGGAGAAGAGCCCTGGAAATCTCTTTACCAGAAGCAAATTCAAGATGCTTCTGAAGTGCTCAGAAAGTTTGTACATGAGAATGATTTTATTTGGCATGAGAAGATCCCTTCAGGAAATCAGTTACCCTTGCTTGAGGGTAATAAAATAGTCAATTTTATACCATATAGTCCCAAAAAATGGGAAAAACAACTTTCTTTCAATATATTAGTGTAGAGGAAAAAAGAAAGAATTTTTTTTGGTTTGGAGATCTCTAATGGGAAAGAAGTTCTTCTCCAATGAATGTAAAGGTTGGTTTGAACAAATGTGATGTCAAATAATATGTTGAGAAAAAATCATTTGAATAAAATCTGAATATACGTTTTAGGTGTTAACGTAGGAATACATTAATTCTTTGTATCTTTTAAACGTATTTTGAATCTTTTATAATTTATAATGATCATACTTTTGGAGTGGGGTGTTATTATAGAAATACGACATGTTGCTCAAAATGGCCATGGCTCATCAAGGATTTTTTACTCCTTTATTGGGCACATAAAATATTCAAGTTGTTTAATGCCAAAATACTCATTGTTGTTTATTTTTTTCTAACTTTTATTGTGTAGATATTGGTTGGCTCAAAGTTCTGCCAGAATTTAGTCATAAGAATCAACCTGAAGAGTATTCTTCTGAATTAGTTTTTTCTGGCTTGTAAAATATTTCATATGTTATAGTATGTTTGGGAGTTCCAAAGGTTGAGAGATTAAACAAAGCTATAAATAGGCGTAGATGGTTTCTGTAAGTTTATATATTAATTCTTTATTTAAGTATAATTTATTTTAAAATCTGTGTTAAATTAAATTTAAAATTAAATTTTTTAGGTCCCTACTTTAAGAAACTAGTTTTAGTTCACATACTGAATTTATAAAATATAATAGGTCATTGGCATGATAACATACTTGAGTTTTGCTTTTGTTTTTCATTATATATTTTATTGCATATTTACTTTTCTTTTAAAGGAATTCATTTCGACGACATTTCGACAAATAAGATTAGTTAAAAAGATTAAAATACGTTATTTAAATTATGAATTTTTTTAAAAGATAAATATAAAAAGAATTAAATATGTGAAATTAAAACATTCTTAACTATGTTATGAAAATCAGATTGAACCGATTGATTATATAAAAATGAAATAAATTATCTGATCGGTTCAAATAAACTGCAAATCCAGTTTAAAAAAGAATTAGAAAAAAAGTAGTGAAAAATGAATAAAAAAAATTAAAACCACAAAATTTTAATTTTTTTAAAGTAAATATCATCCTAAAATATTTATATTTTCCTTTTATATTCTACATAAAATGTGTTATTAATATATATATATATATATATATATATATATATATATATATAAATTAAAACCACAAAAGTTTAATTTTTTTAAAGTAAATATCATCCTAAAATATTTATATTTTCCTTTTGTATTCTACATAAAATGTGTTATTAATATATATATATATATATATATATATATATATATATATATTAAAATTTGATAATATATTTAATTGAAAATTTTATAATTATTTAAAATGTGAAAAATATGTAAAGTTATGTTTTGTATTTGTGGCTACTAGTATTAGGGTTATCCAATTAGGAGTATCTTAGTCTGTCTTTCTCCTAACCTAGGTTTATTTTTATCCGGGTTTTTTTTTTCTCAGTTATAATTCGCTCGGATCGTTACTTTTCAAGTTAACAAGCATGATTTTCGGATAATATATATGTGGAAGAGAATACTCGATACTTACCTCATTACTATATTGGTTAGTTGGAGAGGTGAATGACCTGAATACTACACAATTTTCTATAGTAAGTCAATTTTAAAATTCGGTGTAAGTATAAAAACTAAACTTCTAAAATTTTGAAAAAAAATGACTAAAAAATACTAGAATAATAAAAAACAAGCATGAAACTGTGAAATTTTGGAAAAAAAAATCTCCAATAATGAAAATGTGGAATACATAAAATGTAAAACTATGATAAGTCTGAAAATGATAAAAAGAAAATATCATAAAAATTTTTAAATTTTTTGAAGAAATGTAACTATGAAAATTAAATTCCTAAAATATAAAAAAAATAACTCAAAAAAACTAGAATGAAATAATAGAATTAAAAAAAAAACTCAATTATAAATGCGTTGGATATGTAATTAGTAAAGTTATGATTAATAAGAAAGTTATAAAAGTAAACAATGCAAAAATTGTTAGAATTTTATAACATATATAATTATGAAAATTAAATTTTTAAAATAAAAAAAATACTCAAAAAATATTAAAATAATAAAAAATAATTATGAAACAGTGGACTTTTGAAAATAAAAATTTCTCCAATAAAGAAAGTGTGGAATATATAAGATGCCGATGTATGATAAATTTAAAAATGGTAAAGGGAAACAACACACAAAATTTTAGAATTTTCTAATAAGTGTAATTATAAAAATAGAATTCCTAAACTGTTATAAAAATGACTCAGAAAAACTATAAAAAAATAGATTGAAAAAAAAAACTTTACAATGTAAAAGAAAAAAACAAAAAATATTTTAGAATTATTTAAGAGGTGTAATTATAAAAACTAAATTCCTAAAATATAAGAGAATGACTTAAAAAACTACAACAATAAAAAAACAAGCATGAAACGGTAGAATTTAGAAAAAAAAAATACTTTCTATAATGAAAGTTTGGAATATATAAGATGAAAAAGTACGATAAATTTAAAAATTGTAAAAGAAAATAATACAAAAAATTTTAGAATTATCTTATAAGTGTAACTATAAAAACTAAATTCCTAAAATGTAAGAAAATGACTCAAAAAATTACAAAAAAAAACTAGAATAAAATAATGAAATTAAAAAAAAAATCAATAATGAAATATATGAGATATATAAGATGCAAAGTTATGATTAATCTGAAATTGATAAAAGAAAACAACTCAAAAACTTTTAGAATTTTCTACCCAAGTATAGTTATGAAAACTAAATTCTTAAAATGTACAAAATTGATTAAAAAATACTATAACAAAAAAAACATGAAATTGGGGATTTGTGAAAAAAAAATCACCCATAATAAAAGTTTGGAATATATAACATACAAAGGTGTGATAAATATTAAAATTCTAAAAGAAAATAACACAAAAAATTTTAGAATTACCTAACAAGTGTAACTATGACAACTTAATTTCTAAAATGTAACAAAATGACTAAAAAAAAATACAAAATAAATAGTAGAATTGAAAAAAACAAATCCCCCAATAATGAAAGTTTGGAATATGTAAGAGAAAAGTTATAATTAATCTTAAATGTGTAAAAGAAAAGAACACAAAATTTTAGAATTTAAAAATAGGTGTAACTATGAAAACTAAATTCCTAAAATATAAAAAAATGACTCAAAAATACTAGAATGATAAAAAACAATTATGAAATAGTGAAATTTTAAAAAAATCCCCCTAATAATGAAAGTGTGGAATATGTAAGATGCATATGTATGATAAATATGAAAATAGTCAAAGAACACAAGACAAAAAATTTTATAATTTTTTGTCGAGTGTAACTATGAAATCTAAATTCCCAACATGAAAGAAAATGACTCAAGAAAACTAGAAAAAATAAATTAGAATGAAATAGTGGAATTTAATATAAAAAATCTCCAAATAATAAAAATATGGAATATGTAAGTTGCAATGTTATCATCAATCTGAAAGTGGGAAAGGAAAATAACATAAAAATTTTAAAATTTACTAACAGGTGTAACTATGACAACTAAATTCTTAAAATTTTTAAAAATTGAGTCAAATATACTATAACATTAAAAAACAAGTATCAAATAGTAAAAATTTGAAAAAAAAATTTCTCCAATAAAAAAATTGTAGAATATATAAGATGCAAAGTTATGATTAATTTGAAAGTAGTATCGGAAAATAACAACAAAAATTTTAGAATTTTCTAACAAGTTTAATTATGAAAACTAACTTCCTAAATTATAGAAAGATGACTAAAAAAAGCTAGAGCAATAAAAAAAGTATGAAATAGTGAAATTAAAAAAAAACCCAAATAATGAAAAATGTAGAATATATAAGATGAAAATATATGATAAATCTAAAAATGACAAATGAAAACAACAAAAAATGTTTAGAATTTTTTATCTGTTGTATAATTGAAAACTAAATTCTTAAAATATAAGAACATAGTAAAAAAAACTAAATAAAAAATTGGAATAAAATTTTGGAATTTAAAAAAAAAGCCTAATAATAAAAGGGTGTGATATGTAAGATGCAAAATAAAGATTAATCTAAAATTGGTAAAAGAAAATAGCAAAAAAAAATTAGAATTTCTTAAGAAGTGTAATTACGAAAACTAAATTCAGTAAAATATAAAAAATAATTTAAAAAAATACTAGAACAATAAAAAATAAGTATGAAAAAAAATTTTTACTTAAAAACGAAAGTGTGAATTATATAAAATTCAAAAATATAAGAAATTTGAAAATGATAAAATAAAACAATACATTAATGTTTAAAATTTTTTCACAGGTATAATTATAAAAATTAAATTCATAAAATGTGAGAAAATGACTCAAAAGAACTAGTAAAAAACTAGAATAAAATAATAAAATTAAAAAAAAATCTTTCAATAATAAAAGTGTAAGATATGTAAAATACAAACTTTCCCTCAACCATGGTCCTATACTAACTTTTCGGATTAATAAGCATGATTTCGTATCCGTAGACGAGAAATACTCAATACTTACCCCACGATCATATTAGTTAGTTGGAGGTAAATGACCTACACGTTACAATTTTATATTTTAATTTTATAAAATTACGATACTATATATTTTTCAATATTATTTGGTGTATTTTAAAAATATAAATTTTTAAAACTTAACCCGGAAAGAAGTGGTGGTTCAGGAGTTGTGGTGTGAATGAAGTCAAGGCACCACATTGGTGATCCGAGGATGAGTTGAACCAAGCGACGTGTGGCACATTTAGGATCGTATGATACACCTGTATTCATTTATTTATTTAACTCTTCTAGAATAAAGATTTTACCTTTAATAATAAAGTCAAAATTTTATATTCTTATTAACTAAAAAATTACTTATTGTGTTAAACAAAAATAACTATATATTTTATTAACTGCAATTCTCTTGGGTGAGTGAAGCAACCACGGTTCAACCATGGCCACGTTACAGTGCAGCTGCAATTCTCTTGCGCTCATCAAACCCTGTTGCCCCAGAAGAAGAGGACCCTTGTTACAACCCTTTTCTTCATCTACCCGTTTTGTTTCAAGCACTTCTCTCTGCACTCGTTCCAGTGCCTCAACTTCAAGGTCAGTTTTTTCTTCCCGATCAGTTGTCACACTGTCTTTGTAGATTAAGATTAGAGGATTATGCAATCAATGATGCGGTTCATTTGCAGGTGGGGTTGTGTTGTTTCTGCTGTTGTCGCAGAAGAGAACGCAGTTGGCTCCGCTTTCTCTGCAGCTGAAGTCTTCAAACTCACATATTTAGAGGTGACATTTGCTACCTGTGTTGACACAGATAAAAAGAAAAAGGAGAAGTTAGAAAAGTTAGAAAACTTGTGGTATTTTTCTCAATATTTTCTTTTTTTGGTCCAAACATATTGTTATGCTTTTTGTTATTATATTATTGACATGCTCTTTTTGCTTCTTCTTTTTTTTTTTTTTTTAGATTTGTGGAAAACTAGTGAAAACGACTTCCGGTGTGTTGTCTGTCTTCAACCTGGTCGAATGGTTTGTTTATTATACCATTATGGGTCCCAGGTTCGAGACAAGGCAGTTCCTTCACTCATCCGAATAGGGTGTGTTTGATTCCTATTTCTAAAAACTGTTTTTAGTTTTAAAAATGATACTGAATAAATTTGTTTAGGAGGATGGTGGAGGGTGGTGCTAGGCAGAGAGTAGAGTGTGGAATTGAGAGAGAAGTTTAACGAGATTGTAACATGATAAGATGAAAACACATCTATCAGTTGCTTTTAAGTACTTGTTTTGAAATAGTTTTCAAAACTTGATAGATGTTGGAAGAGAAGTTGATTGTTGAGTAATGTGGAACTGTTTTAAAACAGTTTTTGAAACCAAAAAGTTGTAAGAGATGAAATATTTTAAAAATAATGTAAAATTATTGTTTTTGAATTTTCTTGTGTAAATCATTGAATAGAAGAAATAAATTGAAAATAATGTAATATTTTGATGTTATGTAATTTAGTTTTTTCAAATTTAAACAATATCTTTGCTGTTTTAACTTTGGTTACTTTCCACTTTCCTTTGACATGGGTTAAGTGTTGGATTTAGGGAAACAGTTGGCTCTGGAATGTGGGTGGGACAAACATATTGGTTGATCCAATTTTGGTGGGTAATTTGGATTTTGGAATTCCTTGGCTATATGATGCTGCTAAGAAAGTGCTAAAGCAGTTCCAGGTATCTTTTGATGGATATTAACTGGTTACTAGTTGATTGTGATTGCCTCTTTATTATGCCTGTGTGTTGTATTGTCATGCTCTTTAACTTCACCTTGTGGAAACTCATGATCTTGCTATAACTGTATGTTTCTATAGTGCAGCTTATTGATCTTCCGGAAATCAATTGCTTACTGATTACTCAAAGCCTTGATGATCACTGCCATTTGAAGACCTTAAAGCCCTTCTCTCAGAAATTCCCAAATATTAGAGTTATAGCAACCCCTAATGCCAAGAGCTTGTTGGATCCACTTTTCAGAAATGTGAGTATTTTTTTTCCTAACTTTTCTTTCCTTTGGCTGATGTAAACTCGAGTGTGTATTTGAATTTGAACCTTTGGCTTCATTACTTAATATTGGTAAGCAGTTTGATTGCACATAGATGTTGGTTAGAGGTTTTTGAATTGTACAATGATTTGATGTACTTAAGTAAATTATATATATCCTACTGAAGTGGTTTAAAATGTTCCAAATGAGAGCCTCCAATGATATGTCCATGATTTATTACACTTTAGAGAACCTGATATGAGAACATTTGGTACAGAGGCTCTTGTATAGGGTTCATTTTCAATACCAAGACAAAATGGTGGAACCTGAACCTTGAACATTTGAATGAAAAACATCTTGTTTGTGATCCTTAATTATTGCATAACAAAGCATATATCCATTGTTTCAATATCTAAACAACTTGGAAAGCAATAGGCCTTTTTGCACCCTTTTTCCCATTTTATATCTCAAACAGACTAGAGAGAATCTTGCACTGAGGTTGTTGACGGAAAGAACAAAAGAAGAAGATCATGTAGAAAAAAAAAGATCCATAATGTATCAAAAAGTCTGAATCGGAAGACAAAGGAAATAAAGATGTGTTCTTTAAATATGAATGCAGGAGCACAAGTCCCATGCTCTGATTTGAAGTGGAAAACTCCGCTCTATCAACCTGGCTTTTAGGAGGGTTTCTGTCAAGTCCCAAAGAAAAGCAGGAGAAAAGTAACGCATTAGAAAAAAAGATGAATGTATTACCGAGATGAAATTTGCACTGCCTGCAGTGCAAAGCTCTTGATCCATTACTAACAGAAATCTCAAAAAACTGACTCCCGCACTCCTTCTGTCTCCGTAAAAAGAATTCCAAATGAGTATAGCCAAAGCTTTTCTCAGTTCCTACTCCTAATTTTATTTCTTCTGCTGTATGCCTTCCAAACCCACCACTGATGACTAAGTTGGACTAGGTTAGGTAATTTTTGAAACCTAATGTTACTAACCATTTCAACGACCACCTGGTCCTCAAGGCTTACCTCAGGAAACTGGTCTGTAATAGTAAATGCATCTTCTTAAGTTGTCTCTTAAACAAGTTTCTACTTGATCAACCAGTGAAGAACAGCAGTCACATTTTTCTTCATTTACTGTTTTCATTTGTTAGAAAATGTTTATAAACTATTTAAAGAGAAAGTAAGAAAAGAGAGAAAGAAATTGAATAGTTCTTTTTTTCCTAAATGGAAGAGAGGTACAATCAAGAATTTATCCAGTGGATAGGTAGTTACAAACTGTTTCTGACAGCTGTCACCAATAACTGTACAACTAACGAGAATAACAAACTATCATGCAGATGCAGTTTGGAAATGCATCTCTTCAATAATACTATATTCTAAAATCTGTTCAGGGGTTATTGTCAAACACTTCCACTACCGAATATACGGATAAGTTGGTAGTTGTCTGGTAGTTGCCAAAGTCATCAACCTTTTTGAGTTGAGAAATATGAAAAATAGGGTGATTGAGCAATTTCACTTAATATCATTTAGTTTTAAGTTCAAATCTGACTTTGTATCAGAGCTTATAGAGGTTTCTAGTCCTAGTTTGAAAGACATTTATCAAGGGGCTTTTGGGAAAGTTGCACGTGATCTATCTCAATTTTTAAGGTGCAACTTATTTATCTATTAAATCATTTCGCTTAATATCAACTGGTCTGAAATATGACAAGTTCAACTATGCTACTAATCCCAACATTTTCTCATCTTGGTGAGGCCCAAAAAATTCAGCAGCTAATACGGGATTATTTTTGCCACACTATGATATCTATGGGGTCTTGTAGCTTGAGAAAGACCCAATCTCCCACCCCATAGGATTGAAAACTCCTCTTCTTGTCTGCGTACTTCTTAATATGTCTTGTGAGCCAGTGATTTGTGCATACAGGTGCTTTCTTCCTCGTTCTCTTCACTGTTTCTATAGTATGCCTTCTTTTCCCCAAACCTTCGTTGGATGTTGTTTATAATTATGCTCTTCACTGTATCTTGTCAACATGTAGCATACACTAATTCAGTCATGATTGAATCATTGGTGTGCCGATCTATTTTTCACATAGTTTCGGTTATTTTCAGGTTACGTATTTAGAACCTGGGCAGAGCTCTGATATTGAAACAAATTATGGTTCCAAGGTCAATGTTAAGGCTACAGCAGGACCAGTTCTTGGACCTCCTTGGCAACGTCCTGAGAATGGGTAAATACTGTCAAAGCTTTTCTAGCATATTTTTCTTTTTTGTTTGAGTTTCAGATTTTGTTTCCATCTTATCTGTTGATATACTATCCTTTTGTGTTTTCATTGAAGTGCTATTTAACAGAATTTAATGGCTTTGTGCTGCATGTGTCATAGGTACCTTGTTACATCCCCACAAGGCCAATTGTCTCTTTACTACGAACCCCACTGTGTATATAGTCAAAGTTACATTGAGAAGGAAAAGGCAGATATTGTGATAACGCCAGTCATAAAACAGCTTTTGCCCAATTTTACCTTGGTTTCAGGACAAGAAGATGCGGTGAAACTTGCAAAGCTGCTTCAAGCCAAGTAAACTTTTGTATTTAAAGGCAGCATGACAATCAAAAAGCTCTTCAATTTAAATTTCATTGTAACAGGCCCAAAACAATTCATTCACGGAAAATACTGAAATATAAAAAATCGTTGCCTCTTTATACTAGATCTAAAATGAATATATTTACATAGAAATAGCAACATTCAAACAAAGTAATTGCATGAATAAGCTTTTAGGAGCTGGGAAACAAGAAATTTTATTCTAGGTAAAAAGTAATCCAAATTAGGGGCAACAAACCACCCATGCAAATTATATCAATTAGTAGTTTCTCCTTAACCTCTCCTTGAATTTCGTTAGCTAGTTAAATGATTAATTGTTCCTAAATTGGAAACATTTTCAAGAATTGGTTTTGGTAACTTTCCTTGTAATTTTGGTTCCTTTGGAAGAATCCATTTGAACTTCAGCATATTTTAGTGATTTTGACCTTTTATATTTTCTTGTTAGAAGTGTATCAGTATTTCATATTCTTCTTTAACATAAATACGGTTTCCTTGTTTGATAGGTTCATTGTGCCAATGAAAAATGGAGACCTAGATAGCAAAGGGCTTCTTGCAAGCTTAGTTAGAGGCGAAGGAACGGTCGAATCATTTAAGGTTAGATTCTTTTTCTAAATAATGAAATATTTTATTCTTCTCATTGATTCAGAATAGCAGTACATAAAGTATTTATGCAGAATTAAATAATTGATTATGCTACAAATATAGAAATAAATAGAAAAAAGGAATCTCCATAAAATTAAGAAAGAATAAAAGAAATAAATGCCCTCAAGTTGGTGCATAGATATCTATCATGCCCAACTTGCTCACAAGAAACTCATGCTTATGTTTGCTTATTGTTGCCTTATTGTCACATCTCTTATCGTACTCGGAAGAGATTGTCACAACTGTTGGGTATTAGGCCAATTGTTGCCAATTCCATACATCACATACAACATCAAAGAAGATATTCACAAATGAGACTTTGAATCAATCTTACAAAAGAATATTATGTCATATTCAACCCAAAATCTTAAGGTATTAAATTTATGAGTCTCTCTCATTTATATGTTATTTAATTTTCCCATTTTTATCCAATGGAAGATTTCAACACCCTTGGATTTTAATAACAGCATAACTTATATGATAGACAAATGGGGGGTTCTTAACTGCTCAATGATTCTCTTCAGCCACACATTTCACAAACTCCTTTAGCCATAGCCTTATATTCAACCTCAACATTACTCCTTGCCATAACATTTTGTTTTTAACTACACCATGTAACATTTTGTCTCTCACAATAAACCTATTGGAGCCTGGAAAGAAGGCAGGCTAAGTGAACAATGATAGAGAAATTGTGAACAGGGACAATGTTCTGCCTTTGAGAATACACGTGACAATTTTTCCATTTATTCTAGCATGAACTTGGGATGAGTGCTATCAAAATTACTTACTGTGGATAAACATTGGTGGTTTGTCGTAACAAGACCAGTCAACATGACACCTGGCAAGGAGCAATTGAAGAATGATGGTGTGCCAATCATTGTGACAAACACCAGGAGGAGAGAATAAGGTAGACAGGAAAGACAAAAATCGTTAAAATTGAAGGACAAGTATTTGAGGATCCATGAATTATGTACCCACGCAAGAGCACTCTTGAGAGGCGTAGAGTGTGTGAATGAGAGATTTTGTAATGGGAAAGAAATGAATGTTGGTATTTAGGCTAGCTGTTGGGGACATTGTAACGGACTCATTTGTGAATATTATTGTCTTCTTCCTTCGGTAAATTTCTGCCTCTCACCTTTCTTTGGTTCTTTTGTTCCTCACCTTACATCTTCACTGTAACAAGTTCTACTTTCATAGCTTATAATAAAAAAAATCACAGTATCATTGTTCATTCAAAATTTTATCCTTGATTTTCTCTACTCTTCTCTGTTCTGTAAGTAACTAGGTTACATTTGTGATATGAATCACAAGGGGTGATTTAGGATTTTTAGGGTTAGAACCTTGTAAGAAATTTAGGAATTTAGTAATAAGGTGGAAGGAAAGAATCACTTTTCCCAAGGAAGACAACTCACAAAGGATGTGAAAGTCCTTTGATACAGTCAAGGGTTCTTGAATCACTCAAGAATTTAGGAGAATCACTCTCACTAAGATAAAAGAGATAAACTCTAATATTTCTAAAAATAAAACTCTTGTTGTTTCTGATAAAAATGGTTCAGCTTATAAAGAAACTTTGCCATCAAAGTTACAAAGATTCACTAAAGGAAAATAAATGCTAATAATGATTTATTAACTTAGGAATTGAAAATTACTTAATAGCTGATTGTAACTGAAATTGTGACAACCAAAAGTCAATCAGCTATGCACTGACTGATGACTAAATTTTCAATTGGACCCTTATTATAACTTGTAATAAAACCAAACTAAAACCCATTAATTGATTAATTCAAAACACAATTTGGACAACTAACAATACTTGTTGAAGAACTTCCTTTGCTTCTCTTGCTCTAATCCTTGTCATAGGTCATGTTCACATCATTCTCTCCCTCTTGAATAGGATTTGTCATCTACATAAAAAAGAGATAAGTCTGACAAATTGAATGTAGAACTAACATTATACTCATTTTTTATAGCTAAATAGCTCTCCCTCACTTCAAATGTTTCACTCTTTTTTTTATCATTATTTTTCTTCCCAAGTGTTTCACTAACTCTTTTTTCTTGAAGAAATTTTTCTCTCATTTTCTTTTTATCCTCCTCTGCCATCAATTTGATGTTCAAACCCTTAAACCGAGGCTCTGAATACCAACTGATGTGAATCACAAGGGGTGATTTAGAATCTTTAAGGTTAGAACCTTGTAAGAAATTTAAGAATTTAGTGATAAGGTGGAATGAAAGAATCACTCTTCTCAAGAAAGGCAAATCACAAAGGATGGGAAAGTCCTTTGATACAGTCAAGGGTTCTTGAATCACTCAAGAATTTAGGAGAATCACTCTCACTAAGATAAAAGAGATAAAAAATAAAACTCAACTTGTTATTTCTGATAAAAATGGTTCAGCTTATAAAAAAGTTTTGCCATCAGAGTTACAAAGATTCACTAAAGGAAAATAAATACTAATAATGATTTATTAAGCTAGGAATTGAAAACTACTTAATGGCTAATTGTAACTGAAATTGTAGCAACCAAAAATCAATGAGCTATGCACCCTCTTGGTCTCCCAAAAACTGTTGACTAAATTTTTAATTAGGCCTTTATTACAACTTGTAATAAAACAAAACTAAAACCCATTAATTGACAAATCCAAAACACAATTTGGTCAACCAACAATACTTGTTGAAAAGCTTTTTTGCTTCCCTTGCTCTAGCATAGGGTCATGTTCACATCAATTTGTTTACAAGAGACATCAGAAGAAGGCCTTGGGCGATAAATTTGAGGACACTTTTTCACATAATTTTCTAGATTTTGTTAAATCGTCAACTAGTTTGATCATCTTTTCCTTCTCCCTTCAAGCTAGGTCATTTCCCCAAGAAAAAAAAAAAGCTTGTTTGTAGGTGATTTTTTATGGTTGCTTAGTTCTATACAAGTCCTTTGGACGAAGTCTTAGACAATTAATCTTGCTACACTTTCTGCACTTATCTTTCTAGCTCTTCTTTTCAATCTTCAACTGGCTTTATCTACCTTTAAGTTTTTTCATCATGCTCGATCTAGAAACAGAAGCTTGATTTGGATTAAATTGGTAATGTTGATAGTGACCTGGGTCTATAAGAAACTTTTGGAATGAATCACTCGTCTTTGATTGTCTAGAGAGGGTGGGTGAGTATGAGAAGGATTATCTTACTAACAGGAAAATCTCATTTTTTAATGAAACAGAGTGGACATGTTTATACTGAGATATTTCTAACCTTTTTAACTATACCTTATTCCTATCATGTTCATCCTTGACAGTTTTTATTCCCTTTTTATGTCTGTCATAACTCAAGGGCCATCACAGGCTCACATACATACAGCAACGACCAAATTTCTGTATTTTTAACCTAAATCTATTTAAGGTTTTCTTTTGACTTTTAGTTCGTTGAACTACTTCATTCTAGAGGATTCAAATCCATGGTGATTTTACATTCATGTTTTCATTTAAAATCTTAAACAGACAGAAGATAGTGTTTCTCATTTACAACTAACAAATTATTGTTGGCAGGAAAATCGAAGAACTGACTTGAGATTTATTTGAATAAAATTTTCTTAGAGGACTAAAAGAAAAATAGAATAAGTTTCTCCATAAATTAAGATTAGTTTATCCATAAATTAAAAGGTTAATTTTATCTTATAACATTAATCATTTTTATTTTTCTATTATTCTCTTGAAAGTATTTATAGACAAACTTATTGAAACAAATACTTAATCCATTAGGAGTGGTTTAAGTGTGGCAGTGGGATGAAAACTGATATTGAAGTTTCTCCACAGTTTATGCTTGCTTTCATGTTACATGATTTCTTATTGTTGTATGCCAAATGATTCTGTATTGGAACAATTATGAATGCAGGAACTTTTATCAAAAGAATTACCAGATGCTAAGGTTGTAGAACCTACCCCAGGAGTACCAGTGGAAATTGCAGCAAATTAAAGATGCAGTTATTCTTGTCCCCTTTCTCCCCTCACCCTTTATTTTTCTATTGGGGCCCAAATGGAACAACAGTTTTTTCAGGCAAAGGATACATTGTCCCAATGGTTATTTCTTCCCCTGTATGATATGTGTGGTAGTTTATATTCCTATGTGTTACATGGTGAAGATAGAATCTACTTGCTAACAATGTAAAACAATATTACTTTGTTATCTACTCATAAATTTTAATATATGTTAGTTTGATGAACTTTTACAATGGTTACTTTAAAATGACAAGAACAGTAGACTTTCAGTAGTTTATACTGGAAAATTGTTTTACACTATCAGTATACATATCTTGTAATTTACTTTAATTTCTATATTTTTTTTTTTTGCTGGCTTTTGTAAACATGAGTTTGTTTAGAACCTTCTAACTAAGAAAAAAAATGAACTTCATTTGGATGTGTCAGAAAAGGAAAATTGCATGTGCGCTAAATTTTCTTCGAATGTAAATTTTTTAGGATTGACTTTAAACAAAACAAATTCTTTCATTGATTTCAAACACCACATTCACACTTGATGATATTTATTAGAAAAAAAATTACAGCTTCGTTATTCTTTTAAATTTTAACTACTTTTGTTTTGCTTAATGATATTTTTCACAAAAAAAATCTTAACTTTAATTAATATGTAAATTTTGGTTACACGATTATAATAAATGAATATATATATATATATATATATATATATATATTAAAAAACTACATTTTAATTTAATTATTATTTTATTATATTTAAATTAGTTGCATAATATATAAATGAAGAGTTCACTAATTTAAATAATAATTTATTTTAACCATTATATTATTAAAATTGAATGTTTAAGTAGTGTGTTCATGACTTATTACATGTGTTAATAATTCATAACAACATAGTTATAGTTATTTAGCTGGTGTATTGACTTATCAATCACAATGTGAGTTTTGGTGGTCTATGCCTTCAATTTTCTGAATAAAGATCATAGGAGCTATATATCTATTCATCATGTGATCATGCCACTAATCAAATAAATAAAAAAGAAGTGAAAATAAAAATTAATTATGTCAACTTCATCTCTACCATTTGCCCCTAATTACTGCTTATTATTCTAAACTTTATTTATTCTTACTAATAATTTAATTAACTAAATTGTACATAAGTGAAAAATAATAAAAATGTCCTCCTACAAAAAGCCCAAGTTGGATCATTAAACAATTTGAATTTAGTACGAGTAGTTAAGTTAGCCATTTTTTTAAAATTCATTTTAACGTGAATATAGTACTATTCACCCTTGATTAATTAAGGAAAATTTTAGAAAATGATTAAAAATGAAAATTATTAAAAACGAAAATATTGCCTTATAAAAACATAAACATATTTAATAGTTTTTAATGCTTAATAAAATGTATTACATATGCTTAATGCATTTAAAATTGTTGTTAGCAAGACCTATATAATATTATAATTTACCTCTAATAATATTTTACTCTTGAACATGCCAAGATGAAACTTTTATAAAATTTGACGCATTCTTAAGAATTGAGGATTTGCTTGCAACATATCATTAATTAAGGTGTATAATAATAATAATAATAATAATAATAATAATAATAATAATAATAATAATAATAATAAATCAGAATTAAATTGAAAACGAAAAATAAACTGACATATGTATTAGTGAACAAAAGTTTACTCATTGATCTCATCATGCTTTTAAAAAATAAGGAGTGGAATTCAATTTTAAAATAACCCATTGATAGATTATATGAAATTAGATTATAATTTTCTATAAAACTGGTATATTCTTTTCTGACCTTCAATGATAGAGAAAAATTTTCTAACCTAAACTTTTACATTATAAAGATTGATACCTAAGAATTATGTTTACCTAAATCGTTTATCATAATCAAAAGTTGTGCGAAGAATATATATATATATATATATATATATATATATATATATATATATATATATATATATATATATATATATATATATATATATATATATATATATATATATCACCAACAAAAAAGATTTGCACAGTTGGTAAAGTACTAGCACAACTACACTTTACCTACTAATTGAGGAGGATTAGTTTATCACTCTCTCATGAAAGAAATAATTGAATTATGCATGAAGATAAATCTAGTTTAACACGTGAATAAATGTTAAATATTTGAATATTGAATATGCATTTAAAAAAGAAACAAAAACAATAATGGATTTATACATTTAAAGTAATGGGGTATAAATTAAGTATATATGAAGTAAATTAATTATAGGGATGACTAGGAGAACAGCAAATTTAATGGCTTACAATGAAAGAGACCACAGTTTGCATGATTCTCGTGTAACTGACCCTAAAAGTAGGTTGTTTACGGGTCTTTTTACTCAAGGGGGAAGAATATTCCTTATCATTGTATTATGCCCCTCATAATCATCAGAAGATTAATATTTGTATTATCAGATTATTTTTTACAATATTCAACTTATGCAAATCAATGGATTACATAAGTTAATAAAATTAGTTAAAATGGCTTATGTTCTATTATGCTTCTTGGAAACACAGAATAAAAATTAAAAAAGACAAAATAAAAAGATCAGGAAGATCAACCATTTAAAATGTTTAAATAAGTCAACAAATATATATCATAAATAAAAATAAAAATAAAAATAAAAATAGCATATCAGGATAAAGGTCACCTGGCCATATGTTTACTGAAGGGGCAGATTTAGAAGGACTCTCCAATCCCAAAACCACAATGCCTTATCACAACACTCCATGTACAAAGGATCCAAGTAATATCATTTTTTATATAACACCATCAACCTTTCCAACACAATTTTCTACTTACCCAACATGCATGTGTCTCATTTAACTATTCAAATAAATGTTTTTAAATTAAGAATTTAACTACTTATTAAATCAGATTTAATAAAATAATATTTTTTAATATAATAAATATATAATATTTTATTAATAAAAATAATTTAAAAAATAATAAAACTTATTATTATTATAAATTATAATAAAATTAAAAATAATTAATAATTAACAATTAAATAATAAAATAAAATAATTATTATTTAAAATTATTATGATAAATATAAAATTAAAAAACATTATATTTTTATAAAAAAATTAAAAATTTTATTTTATATTTTTTTCTATAAAAAAGCAGTTTAACTCAAAAATTCATCATTTTATATTAAATTTTTTTATTCAGTTTATATTTAAAAACAGAATTCCAAATTTATTTTTGGTAGATCGTTGAACTCTCTTATAATAATAAAAAAATTCATATATTTATTTTTTATATGATAATATTAATCATTTTTGTCTTAACCCATTTTTCTTGTTAATACATATTACAATGTTGAAATCATACATTTTAGTTGTATAAAAAACTATCATTTGGAAGATCATTCTTTGCCCATACAGATTTTAATTAGTTATTTGCTACATCATGCATGAACAATGTCTAAGAGAAGAAGATGAGTATTTAAAGGAATTTGCATTTGGAATATACTTTACTTGATTAAGTTGTGTATGTGGTCGCTACCTAATTTATAGGTCCCACTATCACATGCACCAAAAATTGTGGCACTATTAAAAATATAATTGAAATTATATTTGTTAAAGATATACGTGGAATCTTGGAGGAAGGTTAGGTTGGAGAATCGGGTGGAATAGTTTTGGGTGTAGGGTAGGTCCCTTGCACAGAAGAAGATAATATAAACAAAAGAGAATATACTATCACGTTCATTAGATAAGTTAGAGAATAATAGAAAATAACTCACCCTTTCTTCTGGAATTTTCTGATATGAATCATACCACATCGGTGCATTAGATGCAATGTTCCTGATGCTTCCTTTTCCTCACTAGATTGCTACCTATGGATATGTAGATAATAAATTATACTCAGAAGGCTCCAATTGCAGCTTTTGTTTTTTTTAGTGCTTTTTATTCTTCATAATTAATAAATATGTTATATTAATTTAGCTTTTTTAAGTGTATGTCATTGAATTAAAAGAAAAGAAATTATAATTAAGTGAATATATTTATTAAATATTATGGATTAAAAATGACATTTTTAGGTCTTTCAAGATTCTGAAACTTATTTGAATTAAACTACTAATATATAAGTATTTGAATTAAAAAAATAACTATTTTCATTTTGATATTTTAACATAGAAACTTTCAATAACTTATTTAAATTTATGGTTATGGTTACACAAACTTCTTCATAAACAACAACAAAAGCAAAGTCAAACTTTTTTTTTTTGTAAAGTAATTGATATTCAATTGACACTACAAGATAAAAAGTACACCTTTTAGAATAAAAACAAAAACAGTCATGAACATACATTTAAACCTAAAAACAATAATAAAAATGAAAATTATTTGGCCGTTTAAGCATTACAAAATAAAAACTAACATTTAGGCTGAGATGAATCTACTCAGCAAAACCTATTCAACACGTGAAACTGTCAAAGTGAAATCAATCAATTAATTATTGAACCCCTCGTAGCTAAAAGGGTCATAAAAAAGAACCCTTTTTACAATAACACTTGAATATAGTTAGACAATTTAATTCTCAAACCCTAGCTATTATTATTATTATTATCTCTAGCATGAAAATTGTCCTCCATTATTGACACACACAACCCCTACTAAGAGTTGAAGTTAAAAGGCTTATGTGTAAGGGTTAATCTCCAAGTACTATGAATAAGAATATATTGTTTGTAAATTGAAATTGGGGGCAAGTGGAATAACTGCAAAAGTCTAAAGATCACGTTTTGTAAATAAAATCTTTGATCAATACTCAAAATTGACATTAATGGATTTAGTAACAAATCAATTGGAGAAGATTTGGGTTTATTAATGTAATATTGTTTCTAGGGTTAGCACATGGTACTTTAATTTAAAATGGAATAATGATATCAGTGTTTCGGTAGCACAAAATATTGATAAA